TTCCGCTCGTCACGGGCAGTAATCTTTCATGGGTGTCCACAGTCGGTTCATATCTATGGACATCAGGGCTCTCCAGAAATCTTTGAATGGACCAAGCGGATCTCACTATTTGCCTGGAGATAGCTCGAGTACTGAGCCCACCTTCATGATGAGCCTTCTCATCAGAGGAAAGCAGATGACCACGAGCCATGTTGACAGCCAGGTTCAGAAATGCATTTGCTACACATGCTTACCTTTATAAGTATCTTCAAACACGAAATTTCTTCTCTCCCATGAATAATTGTTCACTTTCTCAGGGTGACCTTATAATTATGAAACGGTGCAAAAACCGATAAACTGTTCTAAAAAAGTTCAGAAAAATGCAGCTGCGGCTAAAAAACGGAAACCTAGGTTATTGTGCTGGGGAATCCGTTCATGATGCTAGAAAAAATCCTTGATGATTGCTTTTCCTGAAAGTGCAAAATTTGAGGGTGACCTCATAATTGAAACGCACTGTACATAAGTCAGGGTTTCACTTAGGATTCCACTCAAGTCGCTCCCACTACGTCACACTCGGCATACGAGGTTCTAAGACTTCCTCTCAGTTCCAACGTGAAGCTCGTAAGTTTCTTTTAGCGCGCTGGAATTCAGGAAGGAGGTTCTCAGTTCCGAAACGGAACCAATTTCAATCATAAATTATAAAACATCGCCAATGACCCTGATTTCTGAGGGATGTTTCAGTTTAAGGTGAATCATGATTTCCCCATACTCTAATGAATACTTAATGAATTAGTAATCGAGCACAACTATAAAGCCATAAATTCCATCACAAATTGACTTTTCCTCAGGTTCTTCTATTTCCAAGGTGATTTGCCCACAGCCTGACTGATTGAATCTCTATTCCCCGGGTAAAGGACTCCTTTGCTGTCGGTTTTTTCATGATTTACATGATTCCGTAAGTACATGAAAAGAACGATGGGAAGAGGAAGATTGCCAGAACTCCTTTTGGCAAATAAACTAACCATAAGCTATGAGACCAGACCACTGGGGTACGCCGTGCCCAACTCCAAACTCGTTCTATCCGCAGCAGTCCACAACCACGCGCCTTCCCTGATTTGTACACCTGCTGACGTAGTAGTGACTCTGGAACGGGAGGCTCCACACTTCATGGTATGGCCATATACATATATACATATATACCAGTCGGGCCGCCGCCCGGCTAGCGCCGGGCTTCCATCCTTCGTATGGGTTCGCCCGGCTACACCATGCGCTCCTCCTTCCTGTGAGGAACTCGCTATGCGTAAATAACACTTCGGATTCTACTTTTTCTTTGAAAGCTCTACACCTTCAGTATTAGCTCTGAATTGGGAGCGATTTTTTCTGTAAGCCATCCTCGCTGTGTCCGAATAGAACATCGTATAATATTAGAAAAAGTTATTACTCAGAGAAAAAGTATTTTAAGACTTCATCGCGGCTGAGTCTACTGTGTTAGCTACCATCATTGTTCCCAACGAACTCCTTGTGCCTTCAAGTTTCAACGGTTTGGGTTTGGACGAATAGTGTTTATTCACGCCCTGCCCTTTGGGGCGGAGCTTAGTCCTGAAACCTATTATCGGTGTACCTATCCTGCCTCATGTATTCCTACCAAATCACTCTAGGTTCATTTTGACATTACTTTGCAAGCCCCGCCCCCTATGGGCGGTGTCCGGCCCTGCCATCCACCATGAGTAATCCCGTCCTGCCGCCTGAACTCTCACTAAATTTGAACGCCTATGTCCACGGAGACAGAAGTTATGAATTTCCGGTCAGACACACACACATACACAAGAACACACCAACAGACACACTTATCCGATTATATAAGTAGGATACATACTAGCATACAGTATCCACTTATACGATGAATTCTACTTGAACTACTGGTCCTATTATCGAGCAAGTTTCCATAGTTTATTGTCCCTCGAATCTGTGGGCCCAGAAGTGGCTACTAACGAAAGTTCACTGTAGAATCGATGAAAAAATTATTGGCATTAATTGGTACGCGAGGTGGACATGGATCCGTGCTGCTAGCGCTGATGGACAATCTTTTGTATCATATATACCGCTAACTTTTTGAACCTATAGACATGAATCAAAGTCAATACCATAGTCTTAGGACCGGGATCAGATATTCCTTATGAGTTCATAGCTGTGGAAAACCTGACCATTGAAAACATCCAGCAAGTTACTGCCATACCAAAAGGTCAAACCTGATATGAATTCCGAACAGTACCGCCACTTTTTTAGGCATTCCTACTCGACCCATTCCGAAGTTGCATAGGGCCGAAATAGAGAATCGAAACGATAGCAAAAGAAATTTTTTATGAGTTCATTCACACGACTGAGCTCAGCTCGTGATGTGGAAGATTGGGAACAGATTGGAAACAAAAAACATTTGGGAAGATTTCTTCCTGGACTATTTCCTGAGGAAATGTTGTTATGCTGAAAAGATATTTCAGCTTATTGTAAGTACGAGGAGATTCCGAAGAAATGGACAAGTGTCAGCTAGTGGTTTTCGTGGTTTGAAGGAGTTTTTGTCTGAGGAGGTTCCAGGGTAGCCTTCCCTCCGTGATATGGTTCTGATCCCAAAATGCGCTTTCACCGCTGATGACCAAGTCCCCTACGCCAGCATGCAATTCACGTGATCGGTGCTTGATGAAGCGGTCTGTGGCGGTGTTTAACAAATTTCATCGCACTGATAGTATTAGGTTGTTCGGGAAGAAATGCGCGTTTAGGCTTCGAAAATGTTTTATTATTATAAAAGCGGAACTAAACAAGATCAATCCAAAAGAGAATCTCCATCACTATCAATGACCTGTTGCCAATGTTTACGCAAAGATTGGATTCCTCTCCTGAAGAACTGGACCGGCTGCGACTCAAAGTAGTTGGACACCCAGAGTTGGGCTTCTTTGCAGTTTTTGAACTTTTTCTCGGCGAGGGAGTGCTCATCGACCAGAACAGATGGTGGTCGGATGGTGTTAGGTCTGGGCTGTAAGGCGGATGAGGCAAGACTTCCCACCCCCTAATCCTCATTTTTTTCCAAAATGATTTTCGCGATCTATACCTGCGACCCGACTCGCGACACAGCGTGCGATACCCATTTTCCGCACCTGTTCGTCTCGCCAATTGATAGCAGATGTTCCTGAATGGTAGAATTTGGGCAGCCAGAATGTGTTGACAGTTCTCGAGTGTATGTAATTTGCTACAGCCTTTCCAAGACTATAAACTTTATAGGGCTGACGTTTTGGCGAGTTCGCCTTCGTCAGAGCCTAAAAGTCGAAAAACCATTGAGACTGACTTTATAATAAGGCGGAATAAACCCAAGACAGTTCTTTAGACTAGAGACCCTTCGAATCCGGTATACAAGAAGCCTACCTTGATCCAAATCTCCGGAGCGTTAGATCGACCACCCAGTGTTACAGTATGCGT